AAACTCTTATATAGACTGAAATCATGTCTTTCTTCCTATTATGAATGGAATCTTTGATTCCATATTAACCACACAGGAAATACAGTGTTGGTGCAATAACATGCCTGACTCAGAAGGTAGAGAATCCAAAGAGAGTGACTCGCCAAAGAGGACATGCTGCGATATGAACAGGAGACTTCTATAAAACAAGTTTGTTGTTTTTAAAACACGTTAAACAAAATTATTGGCATGACTTCATCATCTTCAAAAGAAAAATGCTTAAGAAAAATTTAACCCATTGCTCTTAAAAGCCTTTAATTTACACAGCTTGAGTATCCTTCCTGTATATACGTTATGGGAAGTTAACAGAACATTATTAAACATCTTTAATTAAAATAATGATTTTGGTATGAAAGGATTTTATGCATAAAGTGCGTGTACGAAGAGAACCGGTAGTAAAGCCAGTTAGAACCCACCACTGAAAGAGATGTATTTCAATTTACATTAGACTGCATGACAATTTATATTAGATTTACATTGAAATTTCACGCTGGAATAAAGAGGGGAACAAGTGAAATAAATATTTTTAATAGTGTATAAATATACCAAAGCAGTTATTTCACATTACTTTTGAATACTGGAAATATAAGCGTTCAGCAATTTCAATTACATTCATCTAGGTTTTAATGTCAAATTAACAAAAGTAAAGCTGGCAGACTCTTAGTGGGGATCATGTTTCTTATCTTGTATAAATTTAAGCTTTGCCAAAAAAAAAAAAAAACTCTCTCAATCTTCATTTCTTACAATCTATATACCATGTACACCACCTTCTACTCTCAACAATATGTATTTCCAAGTATTTGATGAAATGTAGTACTGTATCCAATGTATAAAAATATACGTAAGATAAAGTAGTTAATGATGTATAATAGACCTTTTTTTCTTTTGTTGTAACAGACAACAATGTGTTTCCCTTTACTTGCCTTTGATACATCTGTTCTTGTTTGCACAGAACCAGCTATTGGCTGGGGTCATATTGTATTTCTTTTTGCCTCTGCAGTCATGGATAACTCACTATTGAGCAAGAAGGGAGAAACAAATACCTAGCAAGGTCAATATGGTAGAGATCCCTTGGGGGAAAAAGAGTCAGAGGTCTACTCTACAGAAGACCAGTTATGACTTAACAAAGTTTGAGATGAGTAAATGATTACACATTAAGAGAACTTCCTTATAAGATAATTAAGAACAGAACTGCAATTATATTTGCCTTTTTCCTCATTTGTAAAATTACATATACAGGAAAGAACAATTTCAGTAACATTTCTATTTCACTAGCTATTCTCAGAGTATGAAAACTGAATGCTGCAACCTAAATGGATGGGATATTGAATAGTCAACTCAGCATTTCTATTCTACTAATAATTATACATATTAAACTAGCAAACTATTAAATGATACAAAAATTCAAATAGGGTGCTTGCTGGCACTATACAAATGCCAGCACTATTAATTGCCACTATTATACAATGTAGGTGGAAAAGTGTTTAAGCAGATATTTCAGATGCTAGAATCACCTATGTATTTATACAAATGAATCCTTTGGTCCTTTTTGAAAAAAAAAATGCTGCACATGAAATCAAAAGATAAAACAAATAGCCAGAGAAGGCCAGTGTGAAGAATGATGTTTGGCACTTGCATTTATAAAACCCATTTAATAAAGCTATAGTGATAATTCACAATATGGGATTGAAAACAGAAAATGTTCCATATTTTATCTCACCTCTGCTTCTGTTCCCCAATTTTTCAAAAGCAGTATGGAGGGGATTTATGATCTTCAAATTTTGCTGACCTTAAAACATAGAACAGTAGCTAAGAGTCACTACCTCCTGACTGGATGGACATAGGGTTGCCTTCCTAATCTGTCACTGGTCTTAATTCATAGCTCCTCCAAGGACATTCTAGTATCTCTTTGATCCCATTCATCTACTTTATCCATTCTCTTCTCCATCTATTTCCCTCAACCCTGACAAGCATATTAGTTTTTCTAGGCCTTCATCTGCATCTATCACATGCCCAGGTATTTGAGTTTCTACTTGTTGAGAGGTCATTCTTTATTTTTTCTAGGCTAAATTTATTCTAACTACCTTTTCTTACAATCCTGTCATTTTATAATTTAACCATTGTATATATTAAATAAGAGAGCATTTTCGTCTTGCTCCATCATCAACAATTCTTGCAACAGCTTTTCACTGTTTGCACATTCTCTTGTATCCCCCTTCTTTTGTACAGGCATATATACAAATCTTTTCCAATCTCAAAGCCAGTCATATTTTCTATGACACAGAGCTGTTAATACTTTAATTCCCTCTTCCTTTAGAGCTATAGGCATTTCAATGGGTTCTCTTCAGTAGTGGGTTGCAAATCCCGCCGCTACTGGTTCACTGGTAGGTGGTTGCGTGCTCGCGTGATGCTTCTGCGCATGCACAGAAGCGTCTGGACAGAGCCTCCCGCCACCGCCGCTACTGGTTCACCCATAGCAATCCACCACTGGTTCTCTTCTATTTGACAATATATATACAATGGTGTACTATATTTTTAAATTGCAGTAGCTTTCTGTTTATTGCCACACATACAGTATCTCACAAAATCTTTTTTGAGTAACATTGTCACATTACTCTTTCATGAAGTGAAATGGGGTGGGATGGGGGAGAGATATTGCCTAGGGAAGGGTCAGATAAAAGAGGAATCTGCAACTGAATGACAGAGAAAGTAAGTCAGAAAGGATCCACCCTAAATAATCAGTGGTAAAAAGAAAGGTGGGAGATTTGTACTTTCAGACTTGTAAGATTCTGCTAACGCAGCCTTACAAAAAAGTAGAATTAGTTCATCTTGTTGTGTTTCCTGTCTGGTATATTTGGGAGGCTACACAGATGGACTCATGCTTTGTAGATAATAAGGACAGTGATCATGATGGAAATATGCAAGAATCGTTACTTAGACAAAGTGGTTGAAAAGTTTTTTAAACCCCAGAAACAAAATAATATTCAAAAATCAACCAGACAGATTTATGAACCTCTCTGATTCATAAGGAATATCAGAAGGGAGGGAAATACAGCATAAGCAGACTTGCTAGATTCTACTGTTATAACTTGTGTCAATGAAGGTAGTTCTACTCTTCCTATGGAGTTGATCTCTGGATTTGGGTTACCTAATGCAGCTACCAGTTATGAATAGTGTATGATATTATGTAATTATTTAAATTAAAATGGCCTATTTCAGTTTATCTAAATTATTTATTCATAAAATATCCATTTTAGCATGCTTTGCTTTTGCTTTGACAAATTCATTATTTTCTTAGTTTATGCTTCTCATATTCCATGTTCCTATTATGCGTTCTTGTAAAGAAAAAAACCCTACCTTTTCAATAGTGATATGCTGAGTTGCATGATTTCTTTGTGGTTTAATATATTTTATTCCCTCCAGATCAATGTGTGGAGTTCTACACTCTCCCCCAGCACTTAAAAGACCACTTTCCTATTGGAGGATGTCTCATCATTTACTGTCCAAATGCAAGCCAAATGTTACAGCCATTTTTTTTACAATATTCTTGGCAAAGATATAGAAGTGATTTGCCATTGCTTTCTTGTGGGTTTGACTTCAGGGTTCCTTTTCATAGGGACGATGGTGTCATTCATGCCCAACATGTTATGACATATTTTTTCTTAAAAGACCAATTAAGCCCAGAAGCTGGGAAGCACAATGAAGTATAATTTAGAGAGAAAGGGGAAACAGAAGCTCCAGCATTTTAAAGCAAAGCTTCATGTAATGGCAGTTTGAAATATTCTGCAGATGTGTCTTAAATAAATCAGATCAGCTACTGTCAAATAAGATCGAACTGAAATAGCTTTCAGAGTAGCAAATGCCTTACAATCTAGGAGTCATCAAAAACCGCTTTACATAAAAAATATTAGGGTTAAGTTCAGAGTATACTTTAAAGTCTAATGTGGATCTACTTTTATTTTTCCTCCCCCAAAATTGTCATGATTTCAAGATCTACTAATAAAGTGGAGAGTGAATTTCTCAAGAGAAGGCAAAGCACTTTATACAATATGAAAAATACTTTTAACCATAGGAAGTAAATTTCTTATCTGTACATCTGCCATCCCCTTTGATAGATTCCAGAAGTCCACAACAATTTTCAACCATAATATACCGCTACAATAGATATATTATGTTCTGTTCGCTTTTATAGGGCCACCAGACACAGACTCTTGTCTGACACTTGTTCTGTTCAAGAAAAAGCAGCTGACATTTCATTTGAAAATATGCTTTCGAGAAGAAAACGGAGCCTCTTCTAAAAGGGTTCCCTTCCTCCCTGAACGGTATTGCCGATTGCAACCACAGCTGCAACTCAGGAGAAACGGTCGTCTAACCTCGATTTAAATAATTCCAATGAAGATGAATCCACTATTCCCGAAGACGTTTGTTAGGGAACAAAAGCTGCTTTTTCTCCACCAACTTCTTAGTAGTTCCCACCGACATCTGCTTTTTCCCCACTCATGGATACCGGGCTGCCCTCTGGAGCAGCGAAGACCAAGTCTGTCTTATACAAACCACCTTTTTCCAGATACTAAGAATTCCGGTACCTTTAAATTTCTCGTGTTGGAGGCTAATCATGGCTAGTTTTTGGTTTTTTTTTTCCCCACGTGCGATTCCCCCCCCCACACTAATCATTCGCACCCAGTTCGGTTAATTAAAAAAAGGCTCGAAACCTTAAAAAGAGAATCTCAAGTTGTGCGGGTGCAAGGATAGACCTCAGAGCCTGTCAAAAAGAGGCTTCTCCTTTCCCTCCGCGCGAAAAGCGCTCCACCTCCAACGCCGCCGCCCCCCCCCGCCAAAACACCTTAGCAACAAGAGGCGAACCAAGCACGCACGCCTGCGCTTGCGCCCTCGGCCTCCTCCTCCTCCCTCCTCCCCTTCGCCTGTCCCTGTGTGCAAGGGGCGGTCTCTTCCGGTTCATGTAGGAGCAGAGGAAGCCGGGCGGCCATCTTGGATCATCCAGGAGCGGCGGCGTTGTTGCCGCCGCCGCTGCTGCTGTGGCTACTGGTTGAGAGAGAGAGAGAGAGAGAGAAAGAGAGAGAGAGAGCCGAGGGAGCTGGTTTGGCGGCGGCAGAGGGTTCTCTTCTTACAGTGTTTCCAACCCGGCAAAGCCTCCAGGCTGTGACGGGAAGGGTCTTTCTCCTTGGGTCTTGAGCCTTCCCCTTTGGGATAGGGGATAGTAGGCAGCGGAGGAGTTGGAATTCTCCCGGAGAAGAAGGAAGAGGAGGGAGCGCGATTAAGACATGAGAGCCCGAGGCCCGGTGAAGCGATCCGTGTAGAGTTAGAAAACGGCTGAGGGCTTGGCCCGCTTCCCTTTGACCAGCTCTGGGTGGTGGTTCTTTCGCAGCCCACAGTGGTTGCGCGGAAAGCGGCGGCTGCTTTCCCACTTTTCCTTCCTCAGCAAGCTGCTAGTTGGGCTGTACCGTATTGCTGCAGCGCCCTGCACCTCTCGCCTTGCCCGCTCCCATCTCTCCCGGCTCCTCGCTTTTTCTTTCCTCTTAACGGCACCGGACAATTTTTTTGGCCCGTTTTTTTTTTTTTTTTTTGGTGCTCTGTGAGAAGCTCCTCTAATCTGTCGTCCCCACCTTCTAAAGACCGTAATCTCTCTATAAGATGATACCTGAAGATTCCCAGGGGGATATAATGCTCCATTATCAGACTGGAAGATAGATGAGAAAGAGGGGGTAGCGGTGGTGGAGAAAAAAAAAATCACTCAAATTTCTCTTCCCCCCCGTACTACCTTTTCCTTAGATGGTGGCACTTGATAACTGCTATCATGCTGTAAAATCACATTTTTTTTGTAAATATATATATGTATATGTGTTCGGAGGGAGGGAGGTGTTAGGATTTTTTTATTTTATTTTTATATAATAAATAGTTGGATTTTGCCATTGCAAACGGTGCTTCAGCTAAGTGAATGAAAATGTCTACTAGAACTCCATTGCCCACGGTGAATGAACGGGACACTGAAAACGTGAGTGCACTTAAGGATTCTTCATTAATGTGTAGTTTCATAGTAAGTGAATACTATTTTAATAATTAATGTCAATAATACAGAGTATAAGTGATAATGCAGATCCTTAGATTAATGAAAAAAACCTTTTGTCTTCAGTGGGGAAAAAAATCAACATAAAGAGATAGCATATAGAGAAATGGTCTTATGTTCATTTAAAATGTGGCTTAATATTACATAGGGAATTTTCTACCGCAGCAACCTTTGTTTCATGGAAGCTGAAAATCTGATAATGGTTATTTTTTACAGGTTGTTTGTTGCAAAATGTCAATTGCAAGAAAAATCTTATGAGGCCTGCCTGTTGTAAAAACCTTCCTTTTCTATTGTTTTTGGAGTCCTGCTTTTTCTCTCACTTCTTTTTCAAAATAAGCCTCTCATGCTTAAAAATATGCTTTCAGAAGACAATGGAGAACATACATTCTTGGACATAAAATATATTAATTGCTAAAAAGGGATCATGAATACATGTATTGTGAGAATGAATGGGTCGTTTGTTCTGACAGATAATGAACAGTATTACCTACAGTAAATAAACATCTAATTTGTATTTCCTTTAACTATTTAAACTTTGATACTGATATTCAGTTGGGTAATATTCAGCTGATTCCTTTTTGGGTGGTAGTGAAGAGGAATTATCCATCCTTAAATTGTACATTTCCTAATTTCATGCATATTGAAAAAACACTATTCTGTTCTATTTTAGATAAAATCTGGTATTTTTAAGTGTCAAGCAGCTTAGATAAAAGATGTTTTGTGGAAATTTAAAATGAAAAGCAGGCTGTTGAACCCAAGCATTTGTCTTGGTCTGTCATTTTAACAGATAATCAAAGAAGTCCGGACTGTAGAAGAAACATGTTGATTGATAGAGATCTTAAGTCATAAGAAATAAATACCAGTACTTCTATCTGTATTTTGTTTGATTTCAAGTTAATAGTAAACTAGAAGCTTATTAGGTTCCAAGAAAGAAAAATGTTAAGTTCCATTAGAATTTTAAATGTAGGAATGCTAAATATAGCTGAATGTTTTATAATGGCTTTTTAATCAATTCAACTTATTAATCAATTCACTGTTATTAATTGAATGTGATTGACCCAGGTTTAGACACAAGAAGAAAATATGTTTAGAACAATTGTATTATAAAGGTTTTGTATTCACTATCATTGTTGATGAAACTTTTCTCCTTTGTTTACTTTAGCTCTTGATACAACCTGCAGAATTGTGTTCAGCAAAAGTTAAAATGCAAAAATTCAGCTATAGAACATTTTGAACTTCAGTTCAAGCTTTCAGTTTCATTTTAGATAAAATTATTCAGAATTAGATATTTCTGTAAATGATGGACACTCTGAGAATTATTTAGTAGGATTATTCATATGGACTTTCCTTAGATCTTTCAGTGTTGTTTACATCAATCACTTAACGTAATTTAGAAGTCATGTATGAAGATTGCCCTTATTTTCTACTCCAATACAATTAATGAAGTTCCAGAGTATATGAATACTTAAATAGCTTATTAATGTACCATTGTTATTCAAAAAAGAACATTTGTCAGTCTGAAGTATGCATGTACCTTGAGAAAAAACATAGTAGGGGTTTAGAAAATTGGGAAGCAAATTTTCTATGCTTCTTTGTTTCTCAGTATATTATCTGTAATTGTATTGTGGCCTGTATAAGAAGCAGTAGGCAAATCTGACTTGTATGAATGTAGCTAATATAATTTTAGCCTGTCTTTGATCAAACAGGAATAAAATACACGATTCTTCTAAACACATTTTAAATTTCAGAATGTATGTCTGTAATTTCAATTGTATATAAGCTTGCTTTTTTCCTTAATACCTAATGTTGAAATACTTCCTCATTGCAAATGTGGCAATTGTAGTGGAAAAGTTTTGAGTGAAATGGATTTAAAATGAAAAGCACCTTATCAAATTCTTATGAATTCAGTACTTTGTTATTTAAAAGTTTGTCATCTCTGATGATACAGAAGCTATCCAATGGAGACTGGGTGGCATTTTCCAAAATAGTATTCTGCAGCAGCTACTAGAAAATATGTTTATTACAATTTCATACTGATTTCAAAAAAAAATGCTGAATGAGCATTATTTTTGCTTCTTGTAGTACAATACTGGTAAGTAATTTTTAAAGTGAAATTGTTTATATTAGTGTAGCAGATTACTTTTTCTTAAAACCGCTGGCCATAATTATTTCTATAAACAATTTCAGGTTTTGGTATTCTAAAATAGGATGGCTTATTCTGAACTTGTAATTTTTGACCTGACTTTCTGGAATTATTTCACTATGCTTACAAGCCAGCAAGAAACTCTTGAGTTTCTGTTTCTGGTTTCGGATTTTTATTTATGTTGTGTTGAACAAGTCTTTGTAGTATGATTCAGAAATAGCATGAAATTATAATGAATAGGGTTGCACATCACACCAAGACTAAAACAAATAACATTGCTTAACACTACAAGTGAATTTGGCTTTTATTGTGAGATTCTATATTCAGTGCTTTCATTCATATTTTAACATGAATAAATGCTCATTTGTATTGTAGCAATATTTTTTCCACTTGCAACATCCATCCTGGGGGTGGCTTTCACATTTGATATTTTCCTTGCCAGCCATAGCTGTCAAACATGGGCGGGGGGGGATGTATAAAGAAACTTAAATTTAATGGCTAATCCCTCTTCCAGTTTGATACATTTTTGATACCACTGGAAACACCCCCACAAAATATTGGACATGACTATTGTATCCAAAGTAGGCTAGACAAGGCATTTTTAAAAATAGAGAACCTCCGTTATAGTTTATTCAAATGTCATTTGCATCATTATAATAAACTAGAGCATTTGGGAAAGATGGAGCCTCTATACATAAATGGTCTATTAGTCAAAGATTCATTTGATTGTACATGGAAATAACTCTGTTTTACACAATATTCAGAATATTTAACATACCGGTACATCTATACACCCCATTGTCTTTGCACTGTTCCTAAAATAAACCTAATTTATTTTAGATTGAGTGTCAGTTTGGTGTGGTTAAAGCATCAGGCTAGAAACTAAGAAGCTGTTCCCATCTTAGGCATAAGGCCAGCTGGGTGACTTTGGGCCAGTCATTCTCTCCTAGGAAGAAGGAACTGGCAAGCTACTTCTAAAATTGTTGCCAAAAAAGTTACAGGCTGTTGCCAGGCATTCAAGACACAGATTTAGTTTGTTACTGAGTTTCTTCTAGACTATATTCTTGCAGTGGCTTGGGCCTGCTTTCCCTAGTCTGATATTTGCAGATGTTTTGCACCGCAACTACTATCAAGCCTAGTTAGCGCAATCAATAGCTATGCTGGTTGAACATAAGCAGAGTTGTAGTCTAAGACCTCTGGAGAACCCAGGTTGGATAAAATTGAATTGTGGTAATTTGGAAAACATGGTTCTTATAAGGCATGTGTTTGAATTGTATTTTTATGGGCACTGTGAACTAACTACACATCTGGCTCAATTATTAAAAGACCCATTTGTAGTATAAAATAAACAGATGAAATCAGACTGCTATGGCACCATAAAATGTGCCATAGTACTGTGTTTAAATTAAAAATAATAAAATGTAAGTGATTTATCAGTATTACTTTTTGAAAACAATGCATATTCCAGCGTGGTGGTGTCTTTGCCATGCCGTCTTTCTCAGTAGTCCAGGGTCTTCATAGTAAAATATATAGTATTAATTCATAAATCAAACTGCCTATGCTAAGTGACTTGTTTTAAATGATATGGTTTTAAATTATATAGTAGAGGTTAGGACATTGCTATAGAACAGTGTTTCCCAAACTTTTGACATATGTGTACCCCTTCTATAATTTTCATAACGCTGAGTACCCCTCATAAAAAACATATGCTTTAATTTAATTTAATTTCATTTCATTTATTCGAATTTCTATACCGCCCTTCTCCTTTCGGACTCAGGGCGGTGAACAGCCAGATAAAAAACATCTATACAAACATCACAGTTAAAAAATAAAGTTAAAATAATTTATAAATTTGGCCCATAATTTAAAACTTGTCAATTAAAATAAATATTAAAATTTTAAAACTAACCCTAAAATCAGGACAGACTGGCTAGCTGAAAAAAATAAGTTTTTAGGGCCCGACGAAAAATCCGGAGGTCGGAGATCACTCGTATCTCTGGGGGTAGATTGTTCCATAGGGTAGGTGCCACCACAGAGAAGGCTCTCCTCCTGGGGGTCGTCAGCCGGCATTGTCTGGCCGACGGCACCCTGAAGAGGCCCTCTCTGTGGGAGCGAACCGGGCGGTGGGAGGCTATTGGTGGCAGAAGATGGTCCCGTAAGTACCCTGGCCCTAAGCCATGGAGCGCTTTAAAGGTGATCACCAACACCTTGAAGCGCACCCGGAAGTCCACCGGAAGCCAATGCAGCTCGCGCAGGAGAGGAGTCACATGGGAGCGCCCCGTCGCTCCCACAATCCCCCACGCAGCTGCATAATAAAAATCAGTTACATAGTTCCCGTGTAAAAACTGCGATACGCACCTATTTCTTTCCTTGTTCTGTGGGCGCAGCTAAGCACGGTGCAGTGGATATTCCCACGTGATCCCCACCAAACTCCGGTGCAATACGTACCCCCACCAAACTCTTCCCGTACCCCTGGGGGTACGCGTACCACACTTTGGGAAACACTGCTATAGAATGTGAATCAAGTGTATTTGCTGATGCATCTTTGTGAATTTATAAACTGCTTCAATCACTGGCAGTCACAACCAATAAATAATCACATATAATTTATTTTCATGATGCAGTGTTAATGGCTTTTTACTTGGAAGCAATTTCACTGGAGATCCAATTTGGTCTAATGGTTAAGGCATTAGGCTAGAAACGGGGAGATCATCAGTTCTAGCCCTTCCTTAGGCACGAATCCAGCTGGGTGACCTTGGGTCAGTCACTCTCTCAACCTTAGGAA